TTAATAGTTAACAAAGGCCAAGAAATCTTATAGCAAACCGTTGTAGGACAAACAGAATTCTAGAGCAAATGCAAATACTGCTAAACATTCTGTAAACCAACTAAAATAGTAGAGAGTAGAGAACCATGGCTGAATGTTTAAGAAGAGCAACATAGTAGATATCTTTACATCACAAAAGCATCATTTTTCCAACATAGTTCACTGGCTAGGAGATCCATCCCCACCCGGTTTCCTCAAGTAATCTGCAGGAGGGCTTCTGTTTCTCCTACGTATTGGGACCGGACTTCTTTGAGCCCTAACTGGAGAGTGGCCCCTACCTGGACTTTGGCTGCAGCTTCTTGAGCCATATGGCGATCGTTCCCTCACTGGACTTTGACTGCAGCTTCGAGATCCATTATAGGGGTGAGAACGTTCCAGTGAGTTTGACCTCTCTCTATACATTTTTTCACGCAGGGGAACAGGCCTGTCAATATATGTAGGGGGAACTGATAAAAACTTTGATGCAAGCAGCAGAACGAATAAAAAAGTGGTAAACAACGAGAGATATTATATCGTACCTTGAGTATCTTGTCTTAGGAGACAAGTAGTAATCTTGGCTGCGAGATCTACCCCTTTCATATTGCGGAGGTGGGGATCGAGTGTACTGAGGAGAACGAGAGTACCGCGGTGGGGACCGCCTTCGATCATAAGTGCGACTTCTACAGAAAATTAAAACAGATAAAAGATGGATAGGGTAGACAATTAAGTAAACATTTACAGCAAGATAACAATGGCATATGCAACCAATCTAAAGGAATTTCAACTGATAAGGTACCTGATCCCATCATTACTTGAAATTGAAAGAATATAAAAAAGAAAAATTGCCTAAGTCCAAAAAAAATGCAAGAAGCTAATTGGAAGCAATTCAAGTATATTGATGAAGGGAGCAAAAATTTACCTTCCTCCTCGTTCCCTGGCTCTCATGTCAGTTGGTTTCTTCCTATTCTCCTCAGCAAAAACAACAGTGAGCTCGCGACCTTGCAGAATCTCGCCGTCCATCTGATGTTTAGCTTCCAAAGCATCAGCAGGATCCACATACTGGACAAATCCAAAGCCTCGTGGTTGACTGCAAAGCAGGAAAAGAGACTCAAATTACATAGAAGTATTCCACATAAAAGATGTCAGCCCAAGCCAAAATTTTTGAAGGGCTGTAATCCTAGTCTGACCAGAAATAATGCATCTGGTTGGTAAATGATGGTCCGACCATGTATTCAATTATAAATTTGAGCAAAAAAACTTATAGTTGTCTCATGGCAGTCAACTCTGCCCATGTAAAAGCATATGAGAGGAAGTAAAAGCAATAAGTGCAGGCCGTCTTACAGCCTTTAAAACCCAAGGACATGGAACATGGAATGCCATTGATAAGTGCATAAGCTAGCACGTTGCTGCTGACCTTGTGAATAGGAGCATAAGCAAGCGCAAGTAATAGTTTAAAGATGACTTGCTATTCTTCAAGACTTGAAATCTTGATATCTTCACAATGTATTCAAACCAATCTCTTCCAATCTTCACTACGATTTACATCATCTCGAACTCTCAATATTTGATTGATGAGAACAGAACTCTTACTACCTGAATGTGCCGACAGAATTCTTACTACTTGATTAAAGGCTTCACAACTCTTACTTCACTGCTAAATATCAAAATCCTCGATAATGAAATCCAATTTGAAAAAAAATAATTATTTAACAAAAATTCA